TGTGCCAGCACCACTCAGCAATAGACACAACACCAGTGTGATACCATTGCTGTTCTAGCTCTAGGTGCAGAGCACAGCACTGTGTGGGCAGCTGCAGGGAAAGTTAACTCCATCCCAGCCAGACACAATATAATGTCAATTTTCATAGGGGAAAATTAAAATTGGGAACACTGTGCCTTAATTTATTTTGTTCTTATGAATCTGTTTAGTCGTATGTGATGACATCACCTTGAAAAAACAGGTCAGTATTATGCAGCTGAAATATAATCATCGTAGTATTAACCCATAAGAATAACAGAACAACAAAAATCAGCATGTTTCTGCTCGAAGTCCTTAAAAGATACCAGGAAATGGTGTGAGAACAGGGTTGGCAAACAGGGATATGCTTCAGGGATGCCCACCACAGCTTGAACCATCCTTGGATTAAGCTTGTTGTGAGACAAAGGCTCTAATCCATGTTTGACAGACTTTTCTTCTGTGAATTTACATAATTACTTTTCAAGCTTGTCTACACTTTGACATTGACAATATGCTGCAGCAGTTAGTTCTCAGTTTAATGACATCTTCTGGGAAAACTACAACCTAACAATATGTAGATAAGCTAGCTGTTTTTCTCTTATCAACTTCTGTTACCTACCGCTTAAACTTGTTTACAGTTTCATTCTTCTACAATTCTGAAAACTGATTTTCACATTTAGAGTTTTGTATTATTGGCAAACTTTCTCATCTCACCAAGAACCCTTCTTGCTTTTATGAGTATGTTGAACAACACGGATCTTAGCACTGATCCCTTCGTATGCTCTGAAAGTTCAACATTATTCTTTACGTTTTACTGCTAAAGTCTACAATAGATCTATTGGTCTATATATTGGCCTATAATAGATCTATTGTTTCTTCCCTAGTCTTTTCAGGATTTTTGGTGTGCTTTTGGAAGTGCAAATTCACCAATTATTTTTTTCCACATGCTTACTGATTCCTTCAAATAACTCCTACAAGTTTGTGTAGTGATACTACTCCCTCTGCTGGCTCTTCCTCACTGTATTGTTTGTCTCCGCTGATTTTATTTTTGCTCTGCTGATGTATTGACCAATTTACACATCTGTCACCTAAAAGATTTCTTTCCAGATGCTCTCCAAACTGTAATTAATTAAGAACAGGGTACACTCTGTTCTGGAGGATAGATTTTCCCACATCTTCTTCTTATACTTCTGTAAGAGAGAGATGTGCTGCCCTGATATCTTTCCTGGCTATTTGTTCTGGCATTCCTGAGCTTGTCTAGGATCAGGAGGGAGTATACTTTGCACGATTTTTGAGGGATAGGTCACTAGGAGGACAAAAGCAAAGGCACACTGTACAGTTTTCATAGACAGTATTTGTGATCTTGCAAAAGAAAACATAAAATCTCTGGATTCAAAGAAAAGGTCATGTGATCCACTATTAGTATTGGTTTTTTTCCTGTCACTTAACATATATTAGAAATATTACATATATATTACATATATTACAAATAGCATCTTAGAAAATAAATTAGGAAGGGCAAAGTGAGTTTTTCCTAATGTTCAGTTTTAACTGTTGCTGTATGTAGGGTGTGGCAGAAAAATTATTAGCCTTGTTGACTAAGTTTGATGTCAATTTCATCAGCTAGTAAACAAAGTCTACTGTCTTCCACAGTAAAATTTTGCAGAGACAATTGCTGTACAGTAGCTAGTAGGAAACTGTTCCTTCTCTTTTCCTCTTCTCTTTAAAGCCAGGACTATCCCCCTTCTCCCTCTATTTTCTGGCAACTTTTCCTTGGTATGCAAGTTTTCCTTTGTATGCAGTAAGATATAGTGCCTGCAGACAACTTTACATAACACCTATACTCTTGTTAAATCAATAATGGCAATGTCATTGACCTTTTATTAGGTTTGATGTACCCCATTATCAACATAAGCTGAAACAGCAGCTAGTGCCATTCTTTCTAAAATGTGGGTTAGCAGAAAGTTTTCTGTTCCTTCTCTGTGCACACTTTGCTAGCTACCATCAACACGAGAAAACAGCCAAGCAACATGAAACTCCAAAGATGTGGAAGTCTGAAGTAAGTTATAGGAAGTGATTAAGAATATTCATTAACTCACAGATCCACACTGTTAACAACTGTGGCTTAGTAGAAGTGAAAATACCTGAGTAATTTTTAACCATAGCATCTTATTTCCTCATGATGGTATTTGAGGTTGCTGCAGATACTTGTAGTTCCCTCTGCCTAGCCTGACATACATGTAAGAAACACCAATTGGGAAGCTAGTTCCCCCGAGTTAACCAATCTGACAGAAATATTTTTATTTAATTGTCAAACAACACACTGCCAAATTGCATCAGATATCCTAAATAATATATGCACATATTTGGATGGAAAAAGGCCAGCAAAAACATTTACATACACTGTACTTTTCTAATTAGTGTATATATCTCTTGTTTATATTTTGTTTGTTTTTCAAAACATTTTCCCGATTCTTTATCTCCTTATTTTTTTTATTATTTATTTATTTATTTAATTATTTATTTTCATTTCTGTGCCATAAATGTTTATGGTCACAGACATTATTATGGGCACTTGCTGAGTGGAAGAACCACACTTTGAGCCTAGAATGATTCTAGCAATTCCTGATTGTGCAAGAGTAAAACTACAGGGATTATGCTACAGTTGTTAAAAATATGGAAAGGCTACTGCTATTGTATTTGCACAGAGGAGATGATTTATTTCCAAATCCACTGGACAACAGTTGAGCTGTCAAATTTTATATGGTATCATTTTATGTATGTTCTTTTAGAATTTAGAAGACACTATGACCATCAACAGCAAAGGATATAAATACTGCTATTCCTCTCTTCTGAAAGAATTCCGATTTTTGCCTCCCCATGCTATTACTGTATCTCCTTTCTACTTGCTGCATTTTAAATTTATATTGCAGACTTTTCAAAAAGCAATAGAAAAGCATTGGCAATGCAAGCATGTGGCTTAACTCTTTTATTCTATGACATTGTTTTCTCAGATGTCCTGATTATCTTTGCTGCACATCCTATATCTGCTCTGGATGTGACTTTATTGGTAGCAGTTAGCCGTTATTTCTACCATTGAGAATTCCTTGCTCCGAAGTACTAGTCTAGGCAAAAATACCAAGTACAAAAGCTAAAGGAGTACTCTACCCTCTTCCAAAAGTCTGCCTGCCTATCTTGGTCTCCTGTGCTAGGGAGATACAGCTATTTAGATAGCTGAAAAACAACTGACAAAAAGCACACTTGCTGCTGTGCGGTTTATTTTAATTATTTTATCTCAGCTGAACTCTGCAAGCAAATAGGGCCATCAGCAAGGTCAAGATGCGTTACTTACCCCTGGGGAGACAAAGCATTAATATGTACTAAGATGTCATGTTACACTGACATATTGCATGATGTAATCATAGCAGAAAGTAACATAATGAACTATTACTGGCTAGGTAGTTGCAGCCAGAGAGCGGTGGTGAATGGCTCTGTCCAGGTGGAGTCTGGTGATAAGTGGTGTCCCTCAGGGGTCTTCCTAGGACCAGTGCTGTTTATATCTTTATCAATGACATAAACAGTGGGATCGAGTGCACCCTCATCAACTTCACGGATGACACCAAGCCGAGTGGTGCAGTTAATATGATAGAAGAGATGTCATCCAAAGGGACCTGACAGGCTTGAGAAATTTGAGAAGCAGGCCCGCATGAACCTAATGAGGTTCAACGACACGTCCAAGTCCAAGGTGATGTACCTGAGTCAGGCAATCCCAGACATGAGCACAGACTGGAAAAAGAATCCACTGAGAGCAGCCCTGCAGTGAAATACTTAAGGATTCTGATGGACAAAAAGCTCGACACGAGCCAGCAGTGTGTGCCTACAGCCCAGAAGGCCAGCTGTGTCCTGGGCTGCACCAACAGAGGGGTGGGCAGCAGGTGGAGGGAGGGGATTGTGCCCCTCTGCTCTGCCCTTGTGAATCCCCACCTGGAGTGCTGCATCCTGGGCTGGGGCCCTCAGCACAAGACAGGTGTGGGACTGTTGCAGCAGGTTCAGGGGAGGGACATGAAGATGATCAGAAGGCAGGAGCACCTCTCCTACGAGGACCTTTTTGGTCTCATTGAGGGGAGACCTCTCTGAAACCTTTCAATACTTAAAGGGGGCTTATAAAAAAGATGGAGAGCAACTTTTTACATGGGCAGATTTGACAAGGGGGAGCAGTTTAAAAGAAGGGAGATTTAGATTAGATGTTAGAAGGAATCTTCACTACGAGGGTGGTGAGGCACTGGAAGAGGTTGTCTGTAGAAGCTGTGGATGCCCCATCCCTGGAGATATTCAAGACCAGGTTGGATGTGGCACTGGGCAACTTAATGCTGTGGGTGGCATCCCTGCCCACAGCAGTGAGATTGGAACTAGGTGATCATTAAGGTCTCTTCCTACCCAAGCAATTCTGTGATGATATGGAAGATCCTTAGATCTCTCAATATAGAGAGCAGAATTTAATATATATTTCAATTTCCAAGCCCATTGCTGAGATTTGTCTTCTTAGAATAAATAAAACCACTTAAATGTGTTTCCATATCTTGTGCTTTATAAAAAATAAAAATAAATAACAGTATCTCAGATGCTGAGACTCACCCTGCATAATTAGACTTCACTTCAGCTGTTTACGTTATCCTGGAACAATACCAACTTTTTCCCCCATTGACACAGGAAATAGAATAGGTTCTGATCAACTTACATGTCTCACTAAGAAGGATTAATTGCAGTATGTGCATTTAGAAAGGAATTACCTGGACAACACCTTCCTTTGACAATTTCTACCTAGAAGGTTATAGATCTGAGTAAAGGCAGTATGGTGGTCAAGCAGATGAACAGGTCAGAAGAGCTGTGGATGTTCCATGTTAAAGGTTATTCATACAGACAAAGAAATAAAATGAGTTCGATTTCACTTTTCCAAGGCAACACACAAATTCAGACTTCACTTTATAGATTCTTTGTTAAGTTTATTGTAATTATTTCTAAAAGTACAATATTGCTGTTTCATACTACTTATAACTATTCTCCTTATTGCATATATATTAAACATATAGGAGAAGGTATTTCATTTTCTGTATACATCTTACTGCTCAAGCAAAACAAAACAGTCAAGTGAGCACAGAGTATAAAATCAGAGAGTAAAATATGGCAAGCATCATAAAAGCAGTAGGCTCAGTAGTCTTTTAATAGAAAAATAGGTTTTGCTGTCAGATTTCCTCTCAAGCTCTTGACAAACATTTCAAAAGAGAAAAAAATGAACTTAACTATGGTAAACACATTATTTCCTTCAAGGCACTGTTGAAGAACTCATAATGTCAACTTGAAAATAATTCAGCAAGTCAGCTGATGGAAATACTACCCTACTAATGAAAAATAATACAATCATTATGTTCTTAAATGGAAGGTTGATTCAAGAACAAACCAGACAATATCTTTAAGAAAAAAAAAAGTCATTTTGGCTAAGATGGAACAAACATTAGAAGTTTGAAGTCTTATAAAATTCAACAACAAAAACAAGCCCAGTCAGTTGTCAATAAATTTAGACAAATCAAAGACCACTTTGGTATAAAGCTGTAAGCCTTGGAACTTTGATTATCTTATTTTATATGTAGTTCAATGCATTTTATGCGTGCATGTCCTCGAAGAGAAAACAGGACTGCAAAACTACTCGAAACGTGAAGTTTTCAAGAATCAACTTTTGTTTAGAATTAGAAAGTTTATTTTTAGTTAAAATTTTAGTTGCTCAGTCAACGGTGTTGAAAGTTTTAAATACATAAGGCAGAATATAAACCTTGTTTTCTTTGGCTAAAAAAAAAAACAATTACAGGTGCACACATGCAGATTTTGGTATCAACATTAGTAATAATGGCTTTTTTCCTCTCTTTCTCAGGATTGTACATCAACAGACCTACAGCTAATTATCCTGGCCCACTATTAAGTAATTCCTAGGTTTCGGTCCTTGGGAAGTATTCATATGGTTTTATGCATGTTCACAATCTGGTAAATTTGTCCAATATTTGTAGAACTTAACTAGGAATCTGGTCTTGCAGCTGCTCTGCATGTACAGGAAGTGGAGGGATTTTCAGTGAATAGCTCAAAGCATTAGGAAACATGGCCCTTTAGCATTCTTTTGAAGACTTTAGTGCAATTATTTTCCTCCACAAAATGCTTAATTTTTTTTGTTGGTACGGAGAACAGTAAGATATCACTTCTTGCCAAATAAACAAGGATTTGATCCAGGCAGACAAGGTTTACCAGACAAATACAATGGTTTGAATCAGCCTACCAGTTTAACTTAGTTGTTAGAGATGACTGCTTACTAGAATTAATACTGTGGATCCTTACAGTTGGATTTAACTGCTGTGTTTGAAGGAAATAACCTAAGAATTGTTTTTGGCTCTGATTCGGTATCTTTTGGCTTGAACAAGATGAAGAGAGTCTTTGCCTAGAATTACCTATTTTTTATTAATGGCCTTTTTTGTTTTGTTAAATGCTATGTTTGCATAATAAAACAGATACAAACAACAACTGCAGTAGGAACATTTTGAATATATACAACATGTGTTAACTATTTCTCATGAGATATGTATTTATAGATCCTTAGAGATTCTTTCATGGTATCTAAACTAAAAAAGTTGGTTTTGCCTTTAGAGTTACACCAGTTACTTACACCAATTATTTAATACTTTTTTTTTTTTTTTATCATTTCCCTCAGTATGGGAAATGATAAAAAAAGGACCTAGAAGGTCTGAACCAAGGCAGACATGAAGAATAAGCCTACTTGCCAACCCAAAAAATATCAAGTCCCTTGGAGACAGAGCAAGCAGAACATGCTGGTGGCAGGTAAAGATCAAGCTACGATTTCAGCAGCCAGTTTGATTCTAATACAGCGCTGATAGGATGAACACATCATAGATCTAAGGTACAGTTTAGGTTCTCTGGTTCTTGCCTTCTGTCACTGCAGCCCTTGTTCACTAAGACAAAACACTATTCATGTAACATGCCTATGGGTGGCCAAGACCTCATACCACAATTATAAGATCATGTAGAAATGCTAACTGAAGGCAGAAAAAAGTTGTTCCAGTTTCTGATGAGTAGTCCCCTGTCCCCTCCTCACCTTATAGTATGCTTTTTTGGACTGTACCTAGCCTCATTTTAGTTACAAAGAATTCTGCTTTATTCAGAATCCAATTCATAGACCTGTAAGTAAGCTTCCCCCCCACTTTTTTTTTTCCTACCACATATCCTACAAAAATCCATATTCTGTAACAAATGACAAACTTAAAATTATGTTTCAAACTATCAATATACAGAAGTAGTTATTTTTAACCTGAAAACATCTACTTGCTACAGCAAAAAAGCCTGTTATATCAATAAGAAATTCATATAAAAACCTGTAAATGCATTGTCTTTTATAGTGCATAGAAACTCCAAGGCAAAATATAATAAACATTGTATCTTATCAAGGGAAATCTTTATCAGTATTCAGCCCTTACAGTCATTCATTTCATATTTATATACTTCCATTGTTTTTTATTCAAGCTCTAACCTTTAATTGTTTATTGCTACTTTTTCACATTTATGTAGCAGCTTTAAGTACAGATCAGACTAGATTCTGCTCATTTCTAATAAAACAGCCAATGCTAGCCTTTACCTTTTTCTGTCTTCAAAAAGAAATGGCCACTTGAGGCAATGCAATTTATGTATTTTCTTTTCACTTGACTAGGGAGTTTGCAAATGCTGCCTGTTTTTTTCCTTATATTTTTGTTGGGAGAAGAAATGCTTTTGGTGGGAGAAGAAATGCTTTTGGAGAGCCCACTTTCTCCTGTCCACAACAGAAAATATTTTCTATTTTTTCTTTTGGATTAGCAAAAAAAGGCTAGTAATGCAATCAACTGTTTTTCTATTAGTTGCCTGTTCTTCCATTAGTTGCACATTTTCAATTGCCAAATATATAATGCAATTAATTAGTGTATTTATTATGGCAGCTAACCCTTCTACAACAATAGCATAATTTAAGCAGTGCCACAATTCTGTGTGTAAACAGAACTAGCGGTACTCATGCTGCTTTATTGTATTACCCTAGAATTTTTCGTTGTTCAACACCTGTTCATCACCTGTTCTCTGATAAAGAGTTTGTCAAGCAACACCATAAGCAGAAGCAAGTAGAAATACGAATTGCACAGTATATGTTAAGAACTGCATAGGTGAAATTCTTAAAATTTCTGTGTTCTGTATAAAGTATAGTCAGAACTGGTTCTGCATATCTCATACATCCTGTGGTCTACATTTGTAGAAGTGTAGAAAGGAATTATTTCAATTATATTTTGATATGATACCCCATTGCTTCGCTTCTTCCATCTATTCTGAAATAGTACCAAAACACCTAATCTGCACAGTATTCAAGTGCCTAGCCTATATGGAAATAGTCTGGCACCACAGCCATACGGCAGGACATCTTAAAAGAAATTCTTAAGTACTCAAAACATTTCCTCAAATATTTCCTTCTGATTTAAATAAAGCTAAGCAAAAGGTATAATGAAGACATTTTCCTGTTCACTGCATGTTGCAGAACTGCTGATGTTTCATTTAAAGTCATGATAAAGATTTCCCTTTGACCATTTCTTTGGTAAAAGTGGCTGTGTGTCACATTTGCTTTATATGCTAGTAAAAGGCATTTTCTTTGGTGGAAATACATTTTTGATCTTGCAAGTCCAGCTTTCTAACAAGCCTTCAATATCCACTTTTTGATAATATTACCTGTTCATTCAGTAAAAGCAAGCATAGTTCTAATTTATGACAAAATTAAACAGATCAGTCACAAAACAATAAGAAATCTGACCACATACAAACTGCCTTTTAGTAAATGACAAATATCAATGTTACAGACACCAAAAGTCTATACACAGTATATTAGAACTCATTATCTGTATAAAATGAGCTATTTCACAGCTATTTTAAAAGCATCATATTTCTCACAAGTGTAGAAGAGTCTATGTAGAAGCACGGTTGATGTTTAAAATGCATAGCTGCATATATCTTCTGTAGCTTTGTGATGATTTCCGCTTCTGTAGGCTTAATCTCCTGAATTAAAGAATAAACACGTTATGACATCAATTCTATTATTTTGCTGTGTAATATTTTTCTATGTTTGTTTGAAAGTAAGCTGCATTCCAGTTTATTTTTAATAAAGTATTTGAGTTCAGTTCATGATGGGCTAGGTAAATAATGAAACCCAATTTGGAGATGTGAATCCTTACTGATTCAGTGAGAGTCATATGTCACGACTATGGAAAAGGGTGCTTAACCCAAATGGGTTAAGTCCATGGGAGCCTAAGTCACAGCAATCAACAAGCACAATAACATGCAAGAAACAGTGAAGACAACATACTCTTGGAAAGCATTTGTTCTTGTTTGTTTTCTGATTTGTTATTCTCTTTATACGTGCTTTACCTCACACTATTCTCATTTTGTTCTTTAGAACAATGGACATGGAAATGTTCTTCCCTGAGGTAGGTGACTTCTGAGAAGGAAGAAGGCAGTCCAAGCAGTGACACAAATGCAAAGTCTCTCAAAGCTCTCATCATGAGATGATAGATCAGGGTGCCAGATGTAGAGGGAATGATAAAGGGGAAGCAGCTAGAGAGTGTAGGTTTGGTCCTCAGCTGACAGATCTTCTTACAAACATTTCCAGATGGCCTAAGCAGGAGCTTGTCATTAAACTACAGGACAGAATCTAGGAAGTTCATTACATAGCTTCCACAGGGATACAAATCCTCTGGTTTCTTCTACCACTAGTTCCTTCAGTCACTATCTATCGAGCTTTGTCTTTCCTAAACTCCTATAATCCCTTGTTTCAGATCTCTGGTACTGCCACATTCACCACTTTGAGTTCTACCCTTGTTATTGCATCCTTCCTCTATTAATCCCACTTAACATCTAAAATTCCAGCTTGAAAGATTCATCAACAATCCTGCATCTCAGCACCTACTCTGAAATTCACAGAAATGTTTCATGATCAGGAAGCAAACAATTAAGGAAGTTAATCAGGGTCCTAATTTAAGGCCTGCATGGGTGAATGGAACTACTACTCCACAATGACAGCATCCAGCTACAAAGTTCTGGACTCACTATCTTGCTATGTCAAACAATTAATGACTATATGTTGTTTCATCTAAATGGGAACTCTGTTACTATGTTGTCCCCACATTTAAATAAATAAACAAACATTACAAACATTTGGGATGGCATAGTGGATTTCTTCATTATCCTTGTACTAGGGTACACCAAGAAAAAGAAAGTAAACTTTGCTCTATGGATTTTGTCTTTTACTTACATTTCTAGGAACCGGATTAAACTTTTCTGTGTCTAGTGCTACTGTTTTCCACACCGTTGCTTTCTTCTGATTTACTGTAAGAAAGAGGATAAATTTCAAATCTCAACTTCAAAATGCAGGATCAGCATAGTCATCCCAAGATTCAGATTGCATCTGAGATATATTTGGTTTATAAGAAAAATAAGATTATACAAAACTGAAACAACAGAAACACAGTAAGTAGAGTCTTTGAGCCAAGTAGTGACGGTTTGAGTCAATCACTTTCAAAAACAACACACCATGTGACAGCGATAGTCTTCCCAGAAGTAACTGCTATGCTATCATTTCATTCAGTTCTTTTAAATTTGTATATAAAGTAAATGACCACATAAATAACATAGAAACAATACACAGGATAACATTGTCAGTACAACTGACTATATTACGTTGGTCACAATCAAGACTTATGCTAAACTTAAATTAACAGTTCCCTTGCTGAAAAAAAAATCTTTCTGAATCACTATCCTCCTATCTAATACATTGCTGGATGTGACATTTCAATTATAATCTCATCAACCAAGTTTAGCTACATATTAGTCATCATTTGACGTAACAGACAAGAAGTGTTCCTTTGGAGACATTCTCTGTGGTATACAAATTTATCTTCTAAGCAGCCAGTAGTTGAAATAACTTTCAATTATTAGAATGAGACAACTAGTAAGGAAAATCTATTATCCTGTGTACATGTGGTTATCTAATGAGATAGAGCTGTGAATTAAAAAATCAAGGAGCTGATCAAAACTATGGCATCACAAAACATCCCGCATTTCATCTAACATGAAAACTTACTACTTTAGTCCACTATATTGTGTTATAGTCCTATTGTAATACAGTTTCAGCACATTTATAAGAAGCATGGCTGAGCAACAAAGGCAATTATTCAATTTTCAGCCCAAGACATATCCCCAAACATTCAGCAGTATAATAGCACACTATATTCCCAAGACAAATCCCCACTTCATAGTATAATGGAATTACAGCTTTAAAGCTGTTTGGATAAGGGGAAAAGCACTAAAATGTATATTCAGCTAGCACTGAAAAAAGAATGGGAGAGTGAAAACAGTGCACAGAAACAAAGAAGGTCACCGCAGCAAGAAATTCAAAAAGGGAAAGGCACTATTCAGAGGAACAAGAACAGCAGATCCACGATAGTAGGGGAAAAGTCCTTGAGCGAAAAGAAAATGGGAGCCAACTGCAACACATCTAAAGAGAAAAAGGAACTGCTGGGCATCTTGGAAGAGAAAAGGAAAATTAATAGGACAAAGTGTCTGGACTTCAAGGGACAGGGAAGGGAGAGAAGTAAAATTTAGGTCAACTACCCTTTAAAAAACACATCATCCTAAGGTACAGTGAACCACCAACACTCTAACAGAACAGTGGCAGAAGTGCCTGCAGCTGCTCCCTTGACTCCAGCAAGGCAGTGGATCCAGTGCCCAGGGAGCCCAAGCTCTCTGCACAGTGAAGGGTCGCTCCTGAAGATGGAGTTAACAAGACAGCTGACAACACCAGCTCCCAACACCCAACCACTACAGCCTTACAGGGTACTTAGGACAATCAGGGCTTTGACTGCATGCAATTTAGAGAAACACATTAACAAGAACAAAACAGAAATATATCAGAAAAAAAATTCAAAGCTCTTCTGAAAAGTTTCCACTTGAATGTGTTTGTCCTTTTAGAATGAGAAGATAGTTTCCTAACAAAAGAAAATTGAAAATATCTTCCAAACACCAAAATTAAGTGCCAGGTAGAAAACAGCATTCTGCAATCCAGAGTTATGAAGTCTTAAGAAAGAGAATGAACTGTACTTTAGCATTCATTAATCTTTGCCAATTGGAATAACAATTAGTATGAAAGAAGTATTGAAATATAAAATATAAATTCTTTACTTACAGTTGCTCAGTTTGGTCAAATTCTTTTTCAATTTCTGCATAACAGGAAAAGGTAAAACAGAATTATATAAGGTCTTACTTGACTGTAAACACTAAAAAGAGTTATCCTATTGTTAATTATATCATTAATTCTATGCACAAGCAAAACCAATTTATGTTTTTTTTTTTTTTTTTTTTTTTTTAAAGTTTCTAATTGTTCCTCTACCTAGTGGAAATACTTGCAAATCTGTCAATAAACTTTGATCAAATTATATTAATGTGATTTTATATATAGTATATAACATGATATGCATTAATGTATACACATATATAGATATACAGATAAAATACATGCATACCTATGCATGTACTACCCACATATATAATACATACATATAATTATATATCAAGTCTTGTTTCGTCTTGCACATCTAGTTTGGCTCCTCTATGTGCCTTTGGTTCAGCAACCAGGATCACTGAATTTTGTTTAGATGTTTACTTTTTACCTACCACCTGCAGTTGCTTCCATTCCCACACATTCTCCAAACAGGTATAACAAAACAAATTAATTTGGAAGCAAGGGGAAAAAATATTAAGGACTGTATCAAATCATTTATGAGGAGCTATTTCATATTGAAAGAAATCCATACTTGAACTCAAGATTCATGGAAAAGATTAAAAATTCTGAAGTACATTTTCCTAAAACACTATATTATTTTATCAGGAAGTGTACAGACTAAGTCACACAGAACTTGTATGTGAAGCAGTGTAAGTCATATCCAGCCTTCGGCTGTAATGTCAATGGAAAACTAGGAAAGACTAAAAAGAGCCTACCTGCACATTTCTCTCTCCTTTTCGAATATATCTCAAAAAGGAAAATAACAGCTACTAATACAACAACTTCAGCCACTATTGCTAGAAAGGGCTTGAGTGGCACCATGAGTGACAGAACTTTAAGCTTCATTTTTCCTTTGCTTTTTCCTAGTTCAAAAGCAGCTTCGCACCAGTATACACCATCATCTTTACTGGTGAGCTTCAGTATCTTCAGTTGGGTTACATTGGGAAATGCTTTATCTATTACATACTTGTCCAACACCAAAGAGTCATTAATGGCAATCTGAAAATAGAAAATTAGAAGTCGTATTAATACAATGAGAAAGTGTTTAATCAAATTACTTGTAGCAGTTCTAGTATAGAAAGTAGTTTAGAGAGAGATGTAAAATTAATTAAGAATATGTCATTTATGAGATATAATTAGTCCACCTTAAATGGATTTAGAATAATTTATCTTAGCTGGGCACCATGCGTTCCCTTCATATTTAGTGAACAAAAATATGTACTGTTAGGGAGCAAGTTACTTGACTTGCTTTAGTCAATTAATTTAAGATCACATTAGCTCCTCAGGCTAATGGGGAACCTAAATGGTGGGAAACTGCTGATCTAGGCTCTCAAGGTAGGAGCTGAAGTGAAATGATTATTTCAGCTCCTTCAGAATCAAGTTGCACAACAGTGTCCACCTTCACTGATGACTACCTTCAGGTCCATTTTTAAAAAAGGTCTTATTGGCTAGGAAATGGGAACATGCTTGTAAAGACAATCAGAAAACGAACAGAGACATTCCTGTTCTCTGTCAAGTTTCCAAAAACATTACTTGTCTAAAGAAATCATCCTGCTATGGTAAGGTTCTTTGGTGTCAAACAGTAAGATTTGATAAATGTAACCATCATTAATATATTTTTTTATTCTTATTTATTTTTAAAAAGCTACCATGAGACTCACCTAGTTTGATTTACTACTTTACTCCAGACTGTAGGAGTATAGCAGAGACTTTTTGTACAATATTTATTTTCCAAGCCAGAACACAAACACTACATCTCTGTAATAATGAGTACTTCTAAATATCGCATAAATGCCTTTTTTGTTTTTAACCCCCCCCCAGCAGAGATTTGCATTACCTTTCATGGAAATGCAGTCTGTAGTGCCTGAAGTGATTATACTTTTCAGAGTGTCTGTGCTCTTTTTTTTTTTCTTTTTTTTTCTTGGCTGACATATGGGAATCTTACCTGTTCGCTTCCATTGGTCATATACCAGGTCCAAGAAATGGGAGTAGAATTGAGACTTTTACAAACCAGCACAGCTATATCTCCTTCGTAAGTGATTACAGGTTTGTCTTTTACATCAATTTTCGGTACTAAGAATAGGTAGAAAAAAGTTCATGAAGTGAGGACTATAGGTTTATACTACAAGAAGACAAAATATATTTAGATACATATTCATAGTAGTCTACTCGTTTTATTTCCCTTTGAATGACAAACAGGTAATTATACCACTTACCACATGACTAATGAAAAGTCATTTCAGGCTGATGTTCCAAATACAGAATTTCTACAGAAGACTACAGAAATACTGTTCTGAGTTTATATATAATCATTAAAGTTGCCAACTTGTATTGGTGATTTCTACCCTCGTTCATTTCCTCTTACCTCCTTGACAGCTGTGAACTAGGTTTCATTTTTAGTACATTAGACAGTTACAGAAGCTTTTCTGCAATTTCACTCAATTTAGAAACTGCCACACTTCTATTCCAGCTGTAATGCTACCAGGTAATAGCATCAAGCAAGATCTGCATGCAGATCTTTTTGTATATAACTGAAAAGGATCTTTATAGATTAAGGGAGTTTTATAGTTGTAAATATTTTCTTAGCTAAAGTAAAAACAATTTTGGGGTATATGCCAGTAAAAAGGACTTTTTGTCCAACCTTGCTAAGCAAGGAACCTGGCCACAAGAAACAAGACGTCAGGTTCCAACTTTGGAGCTATTTGTCCTAACTATTACAACTGCAAATACTCTGCAGCCTTCCAAGAGCAGAAGCCCATAAATGACTTTTGAATATGTTGAGGCATTGCACAGAGATAGAGCTGAGCAAATGTATCACGATAGACTACATATTTCCCCCTTCCCCTCCCTTCCCTCATTCTTTTGATGTCTACCAGCATGTTTTCCTTTTATTTTATTTTCATTTGTGAAGTTTCACAATGAAATGCTCTCTAAGTACAGATCCGGTACATCTTTTAAACGCTATTGGTCACACAAGAAAAAACATGCCAAAAATTTACTTTTAGCAGTTATGACAGAATGATTTGGCATATTTAAAAGAGTAGTGTCAGAATATCTTCACCTCTGTCATTAAAAGATACAACTTCACTAATAACTCCTACAACCTCCTCTGCAATTTACACATGGTGCAAAAGAAATCAAGTTGGAAAAAAAGCAGAAAACATGTCAAAGCAAATACAAAAATCCTTGTAGCCAGCCCAACAAATTTCCATAGTAGTCAAAAAGATTTTGGCCATGCTGATCAGTCTCAAAGCACAATTGTAGACCTAAGCAGCAACACGTGACCACCTCAGATATGATTACAGACATTAATGTCCATCATGCATTCTGGGATCTGGCTCTCCAACAGAGCAGTTTGCAGGCAGGGATTGTATTCTTTGTCCTCCCAGATTTTTTCTATTCAAGTCACCCAGAATGGAGACAAAACACTGCTGCTAAAAAAAAAAAAAAAAAAAAAAAAAAAAAAAAAAAAACCACAAACAAACAGGTATTTATATCAGTTTTCCACACTGTTTTAAAGAACAGGTTTGTTTCACAGCACACATACCGGGACAGTTGCTGAAGCAAGCAAAATCCATGAACAAATGGCAAGTATAAATTACTGAAGACTACAATTTGTTAATGTAGCCATTAATATAGCCTTTGTTAATATAGCCATTATTACAACACTCTGTACTAGTTTAAAACACTCATGAAAAGTCACCATGTTTAATAATCTGAACTTCCTATAAAACTTCTCAAAACATTACACTTTCCTGCAGAAGAATTTAACTCCTCTCAAAGCCTTCAGGATTATTCCAAGCCAGGAGAGGAGTGGTGCCAGAAGAAGAAGCAACACATCCAACAGTGCCTAGCAGCCAACTGGAAAAGCTATTGGCATTAGTCACAGCTGTAATGACTTTAGCCATTTTGTCTAGACCAACACATTACTCATCTCTTGCTGCTTGAGAATTATTCTCACGGCATTATTGACTAAAAGATTCAAGGATTTCTTTCCTGTTTCCTGCACTGTTGCATTAATCATGTGACATGTTGTGCCAGTATTCAGCTACTGCGAGGCAATTCTCCCACCTTCTTATAATAAATCAACCAGTCCTATGCACTGTGTTCTGGAAAAGATTACTTCCTGTTGATGTATTTTTTGCCCTTACTGAAATTGTTATCTTACATTTTCAAAAGAATAAGGCTTCCCTTACCTTTTTTAATCTATACAAACTTTGGTAGCCGTTCAACTAAATCTTACCCACATATCGGTAAGAGAAGTATACAATCCCTTTCAGAAAAGAAGAGCTTCAAATAAACTACAACTTTGTCTTTCCACAGAATAGCAAGGTAGTCTTCCCTGGTTGAATGCTTGAAAGCAGATAACATCACTATGCAAAACTTTAATGTTCATGAGTTTCCTAAAGTCATATGACCAGATACCATGCTGAACAAAGCCAGTTTGCAGCACCGAGTATTACACAGCCTTGCCAGTTAGATCAGTTGAAGTTACAGTAGTTATTTAAGAGTCAAGAGTTTTTAGGAGGCCGTTTTCAGTCAGAATCTCTCCTAGTACAGAGTCTCAGGAGCTTTCATAAATCAAATGATTGCCATGCTCACTGCAAACTCTGGATGGTGTGTAGACTGAATGGAAGTAAATTCCATCTGAGATGTATCTCCTCAGTATCTTGTATTTGTTTCATTTCCATGTTTTCTCAGTCAAATGGATTTTACCTATAACTATCAATGGTGAAATTACTGGAGAAAGAAGGTCTAAGTGTTCAGCTCGTCACTCATGCTCTCCAATGAAGCACACTTACTGTTTATAGTAACACAATATATAAATTAAAGACAAACTGAAGCATTAATTTGGTGTTACAGAAATACAACTGAATTTGTTAAAAAAAAAAGTTACCCCCATTCTGCTAATCATTGCTGCTCATGTAACACTAAATCAAAGGCCAAGTTTTCAAGTCATCAGCTCTGCTGTCTGAAGAACTAATATGAGATACCATCCAGAGAGCCTTTTCCACTCTAACCAACCTGCACCAAAAGTAATGAATATGTACTCCCTCTGGAGGGATTGGGAAGGTAGGGGAAAAATAAGTTACTCTTCTATGGGGAGAGAAAAAAAAAAATAAATAAAATCAGCTTACAAACTTTTGTTTGTTATCAGGTTTTATTAAAAAGGCTTTTAGTTTCTGCTGCAAAACTTTAGCTTTCTTTCAGTTCTATGGAAATTGTGTTTGGTAGTCATACTCACTTAGCTTAGTGACTACTCATCAAATTAAACTGCAATTTCCATATTACCAGGAACCATTAATACCAGATTTCAATTGTCAGTTGAAGCAAAATATAACATAACTTGCCTTGTAAATGAAATACCACGCTGAATTCTTTTTCACCTTTCACGGTACAATTGTAACTTCCCAGCTTACTGTTATCCGAGATTGTCAATCTTAAAAAAAAAAAAAAAAAAAGTTTCACCATGTTGGTTTGTTTTTTTTTTTTTTTTGTGTGTGTGTCCTAGAGCCGTAAGTTACTGCTGATTAACATTATGAAGAAACCAGCAAAGTTTAGTAGTGGAACAGAGAACAGACACTGGTAAAACAGTAAGACGCCAGGTTCAGTGCAATGTAAACCAACACAACATTTTTAAGAAATTAAAAAGCATATAGGGAAAATACACACCATTCTTACCCTTGTTATTCACAGGCATTCACACAGGACCAAATGTCTTTAAGTAGTATAATCCACAACTTACTGAGTTAGATGTGGCTTTACCATGAGAAATTTATAGCATATGCTATAAATATAATGCTATATGAAATAATTTAAATGGTTTGATCTTTTTAAAGCCCATCCACCAATGGAATAGTTTAGGTCCAACACAGAACAGCTTAAGAGCTGTCACCTAATAGTTTAACAGCAGAGAAGATGCTGGACTAGATTGATTTTGCAGACATTTTTTGTGTTTGTGTACATGGAGTAGTAGAACAGTGATAGAACATTCTCATCACATTTTCCATTACAGAAATTTTATATGGACATTACTGATGTTAATTTCTTTAGGCTTTGTTTTCTTGGAACTACCTGGTAAAAGTTAACCCATTTAAGTCAAATAATAAAAAGAAAAAAAAGTAAATTGTATCAATTGAATAACAATTTTTACATTATTTCTCGAGTTTATGCAGAGCTGTAAAACAGTTCTGAAAACCTTTAAAACAAGCCAAATAATCTCTCCTGTAAATCTTATTCTTTCTTCTCTTTCTTCTGATGGTTATGAAGTAAAAAATTGGTCACTGATGCCATTCAAACCTCTGCAAAACAACTCTGATGAGAGAATGGTAGATAACAGTAGTAGGAAAAGAAATTGAAACCAATTAGCAATCTCAGACTGCAATTACTACTTTGCTTACTGAACAGAATTACCAGGCCTCAAAGAACCATTACCCTTATCCTATATTCTTGTCTTGAAGAAACATTATTTATCCAGCACTGAAAGAAGAAACAGGAGATCTTCCTCCAGGCTTGATGTAACTGCAACCTTCTTTCCTCTTCTCAGCTTCAGTATGCTATTATGAGCACCTATTAATCATTGCATTCAATTCTTTTTTAATATACACAGGCATATACACATCCCTAAATGAATGATGTAATAATTCCTTAAAGTCAAACTGCAAAGAATGCTACTTACTGGATGCTCCAGCTATTTTCCGTTTTATTGATGTGTCCAATTGTTTCATTTCCCTTCTTCCACGTCACTTGAATCACTTTCAGAGAGGAATATTTATCATGCAGTTTGCATATGAGCTCAATTCTCACTGCACGGTCCAAAGTGATATTTTTTACCACAGCAGGACCAGAATCATCTAACAGAGGTTGAAAAGAAGATATTTTTCATATAAATACTAATTTATTTGTTCTAAGGAAAGAAGAGATTCAAAGATAGCGCTCACCATTACACAGGATTATAGGTGGATATAGTATTCATTGTTACACTTTCCACTGTGAACAAATTACAATACAAATCAGCTTTTGACAGCAGGGTTTTTTTAAACATAACTGAGTTATTATATATATCCATTACAAAAACAACATAGTGACTCAATTATACAGGTAGACATCCTAGAAGGTTCAAATATAGATTCATATTCATATAACTGAGAGAAAGACAGATCTATGATTTGATTTTTTTTTTTTGGATTAAATTATGAAATACTTTGTTCTCACAGGAGGTGGGATATGAATTGGGGTAACAGTGTCTGCACAGTCTAAACCTCCGTTTTGACTTGTATCTGACATTAATTTTTTTGGACTTCAGCAAGGCTTTTGACACGGTTTCCCATAGGATCCTACTGGACAAAATGTCCACCATACAGCTCAATAAAAACATCATACGATGGGTGAGCAATTGGCTAACGGGCAGGGCCCAAAGGGTTATGGTGAATGGGGCTGCGTCAGGCTGGCGGGCGGTCACCAGTGGGGTCCCTCAAGGCTCCATTTTAGGGCCGGTACTTTTCAATATTTTTATAAACGATCTGGATGTAGGAATAGAAGGTATTTTGAGCAAGTTTGCTGATGACACCAAACTTGGAGGAGTTGTGGTCTCGGATGAGGGTGGAAAGGCCTTGCAGAGGGATCTGGATAGGTTGGAGAGCTGGGCGATCGCCAACCGCATGAAGTTCAATAAGAGCAAGTGCCGGGTCCTGCACCTGGGACGGGGAAACCCTGGCTGCACATACAGACTGGGCGATGAGACGCTGGAGAGCAGCCTAGAAGAGAGGGATCTGGGGGTCGTGGTAGACAACAAGTTGAATATGAGCCAGCAGTGTGCCCTGGCACCCAGGAGGGCCAACCGTGTCCTGGGGTGCATCAAGCACGGCATCGCTAGTAGGTCGAGGGAGGTGATTGTCCCGCTCTACTCTGCGCTGGTGCGGCCTCACCTCGAGTACTGTGTGCAGTTCTGGGCACCACAGTATAAAAAGGACATGAAACTGTTGGAGAGTGTCCAGAGGAGGGCTACGAAGATGGTGAAAGGCCTGGAGTGGAAGACGTACGAGGAACGGCTGAGGGCACTGGGCCTGTTCAGCCTGGAGAAGGGGAGGCTGAGGGGAGACCTCATCGCAGTCTACAACTTCCTCGTAAGGGGGTGTTGAGAGGCAGGAGACCTTTTCTCCATTAACACCAGCGACAGGACCCGCGGGAACGGGGTTAAGCTGAGGCAGGGGAAGTTTAGGCTTGACATGAGGAGGGGGTTCTTCACAGAGAGAGTGGTTGCACACTGGAACAGGCTCCCCAGGGAAGTGGTCACTGTACCGAACCTGTCTGAATTTAAGAAGAGATTGGACTGTGCACTTAGTCACATGGTCTGAACTTGGGTAGACCTGTGCGGTGTCAAGAGTTGGACTTGATGATCCTTAAGGGTCCCTTCCAACTCAGGATATTCTATGATTCTATGATTCTAAGATTAAAAAAAAAGGTTAACAACATTGTAATGAATACACACTTAGAGGATTAAAAGTGTATTGCTATATACATATAGTTCATCACAGAATCATAGAATACCCTGAGTTGGAAGGGACCCACAAGAATCACTGAGTCCCAATCCTGGTTCCACACAAAACCACCCAAAAACCAAACCAAGTGCCTGAGAGCATTGTCCAAACACATCTTGAATTCTGGCAGGCTCAGTGCCGTGACCACTGCCCTGGGCAGCCTGTCCCAGTGCCCAACCACCCTCTGGGTGCAGACCCTTTCCCTAAGCCCCAGCCTGACCCTCCCCTATCCCAGCTCCATGCCATTCCCTCGGGTCCTGTCACTGTCCCCAGAGAGCAGAGCTCAGCACCTGCCCCTCCACTCCCCTCGGGAGGGAGCTGCAGGCCGCCATGAGGCTTCCCCTCAGCCTGCTCTGCTCTGGGCTGAGCAAACCAAGGGACTCAGCTGCTCCTCGTATCTCTTCACCTCTAGACCCTTCACCACCTTTGCAGACCTCCTTTGGGCACTCTAACAGTTTTATGTCCTCCTTATACTGTGGAACACAAAGCTGCATACAGTACTGAAGGTAAGGCCACACCAGTGCAGAGTAGAGAAGGGCAATCACTTCCCTTGACAGGTTATATTAACGTTATATTAGTAATGTTATAATAGTAATATCAAAAGGAGCTTGACTTGTCATTACTTATATGCATCTATGTATCAGCCAGCTGCAAATTTTTTCAGTGCTGTAAAATTATGGATATTGTCCTGCTGCCAGTGAAGTTGTTAAAATCCACAACCTTATTATTGCTGGATCTGGCCTTTACTACTATAGCTGCTCAGCTTGAAACCAAACCATTTTCAAACCTATTTATGGCTGACTCCTATTAATGAGCCACTGGAATTATATGTGTCAATTTGAAAACCCTGCAATGTAGGAGAAAAAGTAACTGTTTTTTGGCTTTTAACCAGATCCATGAGCCTGAAGTACGCATAAACAGAAAGTAGGTTTCAACAGCAAAGTTATCCTCTCCAATCCATATAAAGAAACAGTGTTTTATGAAAGACAAAAATCACCTCTGACTTTGTACTCATCAACACTGGCATTTTATTTCATAAATTTTATTTCATGCCTTCTAGACACAACTGAGGTTAGCCTATCTAATACTCTGTGAAAATTCATTCTGGACCTCACCTCAACCGCAGGCCCACCCTATAGTACTTGACAGTCAAAAAAGTGTACTTGGATTTCACACCTTGAGTCCTTTCTCAGAGAAAAAGTTTTAAAGTACACCTCTGACTTGCTAATGAAAATCATACCTAAAAAGCAGAAAAGTCTGGCTGAAGCAGAACCACCAGATACTCCCAAAGAATATTCCAACTCTTTTGGGTCTGGCAGAGACATTTTCAGCTTACAGAACAGCATGCCCAGAACTCCAAGTCCCAGCTGAAAAATTACAGCTCTATTGAACTCAAGAGGTACAACACATCAATCTTATACAGCAGAGCCATAATCAGTGCAACTCATTTATTAGATCCATTTATTAAACTCAGTAAGTAAGCCAAGCATAACTCACCTCGGCTGTTTATGATCAAAGTAATTTTGCAAACAGAATTAGTTTCACAGTAGTAAAGTTTTACAGTCAGGTTAGTCACAGTGGCTAAAAATAGAAAGGGTACCTTTTGAAATTCATTATTCTAAAATTAAATCCACACTTGAAATGAATGGAACATGAAAACCCTATGCTGTTGAAGATTAGCCATTAGGTAGGCTGCTATCTAGGGCATCTGTACCAAGAGTACTTGTACCAGAGCAAGAAACAGACACTATCTTATTAAGTACCTAGTTTTATATTAGAAGAAAATCATTCTGTAAGAAAATACAGCATAAATGCTATGTGACTATCCTTAAAATATCATACCAGTATTTTGCACAGGAGTTCTAAATGATCTCTTTCAATTCTAAGTAATTCCCGTTAGATCAGTTTTTCTATTTATAACTATTATTTTTATATTATAACTATTTTTTTGGTTAAAAATAGCTATAATGCAACTAATTCATTCATTTTTCTCTAAATGACCTCATCACTTGCCCATTCACTTGCTGTGAATGGCTTACTTCAGAAAGAAGTTACCGTCATTTACCTCCTGAAACAGAAAATATTGCATGCAATCATTGATATTTGGTGTAACGTAACTGGAAGAGAACATACTCACCAGGAAGGACTACTTCATGCTTCTCATAAGAGCCATGAGATATGTTCGACTTGGTGTCCTGCTTGAACTCCTGCGTGGTAAGATCCAGACCTACAAGGTGGTAGGGAACGTGAAGTGGTATATTATGATGCTATAAAAGGTAGTCATGCAGAAATATGGTATTGCATGTTTCTTACAGCAATCTTTCAGGGGGAAAAAAAAGTAAAGCTTTGCCAAAGCTGACTCCTATGGAGATCCTTTCACATAGTTTGTATTAGTAGCCACAATCTTTAAGTATCAGGGTCATATGGCCATTTTTGTAATAATTATACCATTTTAGAATATGGTTTTTACTTTTTATATAACGCTTTAAATGTAAATTTCAGAATACTCCAAAAAGGCCACAATTATCTATTTCACAGCCTGATTCAACAAGTCATTTTTAAATGCGTCCTTTTCTTAAGGACAGGATGTGGATCCTAGACCTGTACGGTACTACAGCAAAGTTAAACAGGGCTTAGAAAAGTAACAAACATTGGAAAAACAGGAAGAGAATACAGAAGGACGGAACAGTTATTCCTGATACCACTACAATTTAACAGCCACAAAGCTATAGGTAGACCATCTTCTCCAGATACTGCTTCACTGAATCTAGAGGCAAGAATGCTCTGGGTTTCAGTGGTACATGGTCAGAGTTCTACAATACTCCACAAGATTCCTGTTATACTCACGGGGAATTTGCTTCCCCCCATAGTATGCATTGACGCACTTTATCATCTGCCTTACTTAGGTGTAGTCCCTTCCTTCTGGGGGCAAAAGTGACATTTAAAAGGGATTAGATGGCCAGCAATATGCCTTTTCTGTAGGGCTAAGGACAGCATACTGCTAAGAGATTACACTTACAAATCTGCAAAACTTGAGATAGTTGTCAGGTAGGCAACTGTGGGATTAAACTTTATGCTTACCACTATACTTCTGCTCTTCACATTTCAAGAACAGCGCAATAAAGTAAATTAACAGAGGTGTAGCTTTAACAGCAGATGCAGACCAGCTAAGGAAACATCACCCTTCCACTTCTACATAAGTAATTGTTTCATTGGTTCTGTAAACAATTCAATTTCATTGGTTCTGTAAACAATGTGAACAATTGGTTCAGTAAACAAGTTCCTAGTAAACTGAAGTGCACGCTCCGGGAAAATGCAGTAGAAAATACACTTAAAGGAAAGGTCGATTCAATGCAACTACAGGAATCTTCCATTTTTTCAGTTTCCGGATCCTTTCTGCACAGCTTTAAACAGAACTTGTACAGTCTTGATTTCAAACTTTTTATGGAGGAAATATATTATTGGTAATTGCCAAGATAATTACTTGATAAGTTAAAACAAAAATGACAACAAAAAAAAAAAAAAAAAAAAACAAAGACATGGCAGAACCTTGGGGTAGCTGAAATTTCTAAAGTATAAGACATCTAATTGTTTTTACCAAGTGTAGATGCATCAGGTCCAACTGTCAAGTGATCTGTAATGCTGCCTCCCCGCGTTTGCCGGTTCACAGTTTGTGTAGTTGTCATGGGCTCTGAAAGGTTTAAAAACAAAGCTGTTAGATATCGACTTTATTATCTTTACATTTCAATGACAAAAAAAAAAAAAAAAATCCACACGTTAAATAAAATACACTATGTATTTTAAGCCATGTGTTTTACATACTTAGACAGTAGTTCTGTTCTCAGTTTTTTATTGTTTACATAATTTAATATGAATTATCATTTTAGGTTGAATCTGCCTAATCATACAGTACTGTAGGAGAAAATGATCCCAGGTTATGTAGAAGGAATGACTTCATTATCTCTCTTGTCTATGGATTGAGAAGGTTCCCAGGTGTTCCCCTTTGGAGTCAGGAAGGTAAGAGAAAACTGGGCTACAGCTTCTCTAAGCACTGGGTGGCAGAGTTGATCACTATGCAGTAAAAAACCCATCTCTGAAAGCCTAAGCATACTCAAGGTATTTCTTCTTTCCTTTCGCTGCATAAAATAATGATTTTAGAGGTACGGTTCTAAAAAACACACACACGCTTCTCAGCTATAGCTGTTGCCAGAATCTGGTTGTGCTGAAGGAAGTCCCTGCTAGTGGTTTGCACCTTGTCTATCTCTGAGCAAGTGTAAGCAGAGGTACCACATGCCTTCAAACTGATTGCCCATTCTGTAAAGCAAGTTTGTTTTGTTTTTTTTTCACCATGTCAGCATGTCAATTCACAACCTGAGGAATGTTATGCCACAGGCAATTAGCCTTATGCCCGGGTTGTGCCATCTGTGCTTTCACACCTTCCCTCATGCTTCAGTCAGTTTAAAGAAACAATAAACCTGTATATTAAGGTGGACAATGCGGGAACTGTCAGCTTTTTCCACAGTCCATGAGTTGCTTATGATGCTTACATTTTTGAAGTGGCTTGAAAAGGCCTAGATAATGCATTTGCTTCTTTTTCTTCTTAAGAATATTACAAAAGAATTAATTAGTCTGAAAGTGTAAACTCTACACACAGTAAGGTAGGATCATTGGGGAAAAAAGTATAACTCTAGGTATAGTGAAATAAAATAATTACCAGGAGATGATTTAAGTCCAGTTGGCATCTGAGTCAAAGAGTTCTCGTGAGTCTGATTGGCATCCTGTGGTGTCACAGCTAGATCTAAAAAGAAAAAGGCTTTAAAGAAGCTTTGTTCTCTCAGAAATGATTAAGAAATACCTAGTTCAAGAACAGAATTCAGAGAGCCTCCCCAATACCATTGGTTTTTTGACTTCTGAGCATAAACAGACAAAATGCAAAAGAACTTACTTTTAATTAGTTGACTTTCGCTTATTTTAGGCAAGAGAGCTTGAAGAGGCTCTATCTTTTACTTGACCTTTCTAATTACCTGATGGAGAGTTTTGTGTTCAGATCTTTTCCTCTAGTCAGCCTTTAGTCAGATCACTCTTCTCAGCTATTCTTCAGAAATTTCAGCAGACTAGTAAGCTTTATAACCAGTACTCAAGACCCATCCTGTTTGTAGGCTTAGCTTATGGCAGCAGATAATACTGATACTAATTGATTATTTTTAACAGATTGGCGGATTCAGCAATACAATAACAAATCCATTACAACCTCGCATACATCTACCTTTTGACAGAGTGAACCACTACATTACCTTCAACTATCAGCTTTTCTTTTGCTCATCAAAGTATCTGTGTCACCCTGTACACTGACTTCACTAAATAATGCTAATCACTATTTCAAATTTCCCCAACACCAGCACAAGTTTGATTTGACTCTTACAATACATTTTTTGTAAGACTCAAGCAACACTCCAGAGTTTTGCTTTACATTCCTGACTGGAGAAAGGACAGCAGGGGAAGAGGGAAATTTTTTAAAATTAGTTTTAGTATGCTGCTATGTCACTACTCAGTTGTGAATTCAAGATCCCTGGAAAATTTACAAAGACAGAGATGCTTTCAGCTTACTTTCTGCTCTCACATTTGGATGACAGAACTAGTTAGATTAAAATAAAGATTATCTTCACATGATTAGTTATTTCAGGACATATTCCATTGACTTATCTGTAGGATGTGTTCTTCCTTAGAGCAACCTCACATCAGTAGCTTTTAAGGGATTTGGCCAAATGCTGTTACAAAGCTGCATTTGTAGCCAGGGAAAGAAGGGCACATACATTGTGTTTTGCAGTTTTAAGTACAGACAGAAGAGGTAATAAACTCTACTAGATATTCAAGACAGCATCAAGCATGGAATGAAAAATGAAGAGCTGCATCAGTTTGAACACATTCATACTTGTTGAGAGCCATGTGCCTTCAGAGCAGCTGGTAAAGTTTCATACAAGTGAACAATGCTACTAACACTCGTATGCTGTTTCAGCACTACAGGCACAGACAGCCTACAGGCTTTCCCAGTGGCACCTCCAGTGTACTATCACTAAACTGCATCAGAATCATGCCTGGCTCGCACGATCTGCTCTCTCAATCTGCACATCATACTTCACCCAGTTCGGATCAAGATTATAAGGTAGTTGAAGAGTGTAATTTAAAACAAAGCATTTGTGGTTATTCACAACTGGCATTTTATTTTTCATAGTTAGTTAGTGCACTGGTCCCACAGCTGAAAGTGCCCCTCTGCCATTCTCCCAAAGAAGGTAAGAAATAAAGAAATTTGTTCAGACTGAGTACCTGCTGTCTTATGAACCAGCTGTGAGAAAGACAAGTCTTATTCTCTGCTTGAGAGAAGTGATGAGAGGGAGGGGTATAATGTTCCTGATATTAAGGATAAGGTTGAAGATCCATGAATTTTATATCTCTGCAGCATCTTGAGGCATTCTGAGGGAGTCATGGTGCCATGGATCACCTGATTCTGTGTCAGCTTAGTAGACATAGCACTTGCACAGTAATTAGAATCCCTCAAGATGATAAATTTAGAAGGCGCCAGTGCCAAGCTCTACAGCACCTCTGTTATCACTCTGCAATGAAGCCAAATACCATGTTAGTATGCAACATGGTTTGCATACTAACAGGATTCTCATCTTGGCTGTCCTCCTTGATTAACATACCAAGTGAAAGCAGTTGAGGAGTGTTATTTCTGATCACCATTGATTCTACATCTGTCCATACATAAAACTACATGGCATGGAAGTACCACCACACCTCATCCTTTCATATGCATCCTGCCGAATAGCATAGGTTATCGAGATGACCCACTGCTGCATGATCAGTGTGATCAAGGCAGGCAGTGATGTAAGCATATCCAATAATAACTTCTCAAACTATTGACTCAGGGCTGGAATGCCTTAGCCTACAATTGATTTGCATTAGCTTTAATCAATAGAGAGGACTGCTGAGTTCTTCTTGCCCTGATCTTTACACAGAAAGGAGCAGATGAATATGAGGACACCAATGTATTTTTCCACCACCCCTGCTGTAGCCAGTATTTGGGAGATAAAGCATGATGTATACCATACTTGTAATCACCAGAGAAATTTCAGGCTTTTTAATTTATTTGCTCACTTTGATTTCTACAAACAGCCTGGCCCACTTAAATGTCTTCACTAAAATGCAGCAGAGAAAAATGGTTAAAT